TCACTGCTTTGCATTCTCTGTTATGCACACTGGCACCAAAACTGTGCAGTGGGTGGTTCTGGGTTCATGTTGTCAGCATCCCATATTGCGCTTGTCTGCTCCCTCCCCGTTTGCTTGGGATCCAAGGGAAACTGTCCTTTCATGTCCTTTTAGGTCCTGGTTACTCCTGCAGATGCCACAAGCAGTGTGTGCATGGCCCCCTCATGAATCCCATTTTGCATCACAGCACTGCCATGATGATGTTTATCTTGGTGAAGCATTTCGAGAGCACATGCCTGGCCCTCCAGGAAGGGGATGAGTATGAATCTCGGGATGCCATGGACACGCTGTAAAGGCAAGCCCTTAGGATGAGCGAATTGGAAATGCAGCCTGCACCTGATGGCCTGGACACAGTGCAATGCTGGTTCTGGGGCTGGGGAACAAGCACAGACCGGTGGGACCGCATAGTGCTGTAGCTATGGGACTATCAGCAGTGGCCGCAAAACTTCCGAATGCACAAGGCCACTTTCATGGGACTTTGCAAATGGTTTTCCCCTGCCCTAAAGTGCAGGGACACGGGAATGAGACCTGCTCTGACTGTGGAGAAGTGAGTAGCAATTGTCCTGTGGAGCTTGCAAGGGCAGACAGCTACCGGCCAGTTGGGAAGCTGTGTGGAGTGAGGAAATCTACAGGGGGAGCTGCTGCTATACAAGTAGCCAAACCAATCCATCCCGCTTTGCTATGGAGGAGGTGACTCTGGGGAACGTGGGTGCCACAGTGGGGGGCATTGCCGCGATGGGGTTCCCTCACTGCGGCGGGGTGATAGACGGAACCCACATCCCCATCTTGGCACCCAGCCACATTGCCAAGGAGTAAACCACAAGGGGTACTTCTCAATCATGCGGCAGGCTCTGGTGGAGCCCAGGGGCAGGTTCACTGACATCAAGGTGGGATGGCTGGGGAAGGAGCAGGATACGCACATTTTTAACAACTCCGGCCTCTTCTGAAAGATGCACCCAGGAACTTTTTTCCTAGATAGAAAAATCAGATTGGAGAGGTGAAAATGCCTGTTGTGAGCCTTGGCAACCCAGCCTCCCCCTAGGGCTGGTGTCTCATGAAACCGTACACAGGCAGCCTGGGCCGCAGTAAAGAGCAGTTCAGCTGCAGGCTGAGCAAATGCAGAATGGTGGCAGAATGTGTTTTGGGCCATTTAAAGGGAAGGTTTAGGAGTATAGGGCTTAGGTTAGATCTCAGCGAATGCACCATTCCCTTTGTCGTGGCTGCCTGCCGTGTGCTCCATAATATTTGTGAGCGCAAGAGGGGATGTTCTCTGGCAGGTGGGGGTGGAGGCAGAGCACCTAGCTAGAGAGTTTGAGCAGCCAGACACCAGGGCGATAAGGAGAGCACAGCGAGGTGCAGTGCAAATCAGAGAGGCTGGGAAAGGAAGGTTTCCTGAGTGGCCAGTGTTGAGGGTCGTGCGCGTTGCTCTCGATGAGGTGCCCTGCGTCAGCAGTGACAGTGACTTAACATTTCTTATAGGGACTGTCCTAGTGCAACCCGGGTCCCTGCCAGCTCTTTCAATAACTCCCCTCTGCCTCTTCTTGCAACACTTGCCAGAGCTGCACAGCAGGGGGCCCTCACTTGGTTTCCCTCTGCCCTGCATTCGGTACGTGGGCCTGCACTCCCCACCCCACTCCTGCAAGACGAGCGATGAAGAGACCGTTGTTCAGAAATCTTGCGTTTTTAATTAGGGAAAAGGAGTCCGTGGTGGGATCCACGGGGGAGGGTGGGGATGTTAATCAGAAATGAGGAAAGGATGGTTTTTTACTTTATGACACACTGAAGGTTTGAATCTCCATCACCCCTGTGTCCTAGGGCCCCAGGGGGTGGAGGCTGCAGAACTGGGTGAGGAGGGTGGGGGATAGGGTCCTCTGCAAGCATACCGCCATGTGTCCCCATCACAGCCAGCAGGGATGAAAAGACATTCCCCTGGTGCTACACTTGCACTTCCCTGCTCGCTCTCCATTCCTGCCGCGCTGCTCACGTCCCCTCCAGGGGCGAGTTCTCCTCTCCCTTTGCTCTTTAAACATGTCTTCCCTTGGACATTGTTGCCTGCGGGTTTGTGTGAGCCGCACAGCTGGCAGGGCCGGGGGAGTGCGAAGGAGGCTCCCTGCTGTTCCAGCTGTAATGAAACGATACCAGGGCACACGTGACATTGTGGAGCCGAAACCCTAATCTGTTACCAACCAGTGATGGTCTCTCTAAAGCCAATGGAGACGTGTTCTGTGCAAGGCCAAGGCTGTGCTTTAAAGTGGCTACTGTACAGCAGGTACCCAGCAACGCTCTCAAGGGGAAACTGGACTCATGTGCTTTGGAAGCAGGCACGGCAGGGTATGATCCTGCAGGTGGGAGAGTAGCAGGAGTCTGATTGTGCCAGTCGGTTAGGGCAGTGAGTCACATGGTTTCTCTTCTCTGTCTCTCCCACACTCTGCTTCTCCGGACAGTGCTATTTCCCATCCCACTGGAGATTGTGGGCGGAATGAGGGACAGGGTCTGATCATATCAGTGGGAGAGGGTGGCATGTCACACAGCTTCCCTTCTCTGTGTCCAGCACAGCCGCTTCCCAGGAGAGCCCTCACCGCCAAGTGTCCAGTCTCCAGCCACTGGGGAATTTTGCTACCGGCAGTTGCCAATGTCCCTCGTGCCATCAGAGGCATCGCCTCCAGAAACGTATCTAGCTCATTCCTGACGCCAGTCAGGTGTTTTTACCCCCACTGCTCCGCAGGAATTTCACTCCTTTGATTCTTAGAAAACTTTGCCTTATTTGGGGGCTAAACGTGTTCCTGGCCACTCCATAGCCATTTGGTTTTGTGTCCATATTGGCCATTCACTTAAATAACTCCTCACCCTCCCTGATAGTTCTGTTTGGATGTATTGATACAGACAGGAGCAGCCCTAGACGAGCTGCCGGCAACTGGTGCCCTAGGCGAAATGCGCGATCGACACCCTCGCCTCCAAAACCCTCAATGATTGTTTTTTTGGTGCCCCATGTGACCGCCTACGACACCTGTAGATACAGAGGAACGCTATCATCCCTCAACGGGGTGCCATTTCCGAATTTTGGTGCGGAGGCTAAGGGGCAGCAGTAACTAGGATTCCATTTCAGAGGCTACTTAGGCACGTGAACAGTTGTGGGGTTTTTTTTCAGATAATAATCTAGAAATTAACTGACCGGACTGGAACAGCATGCCTAAATCTTAGGGATCTGGGGCAAATCTGTCAGGGATGGTATTTGGTCCTGCTGTGTAGTTATTTTGTAAATGTATTTTAATCCACATTGTGAAGAGGAGAATGAAAGTTAATTTCTTCCAGGAATATTTACAAGTAAATAAAAGGAAACACTATGCAGCACTTTAAAGACTAACAAGATGGCTTAATAGGTGATGAAAGGTCATCCCTATTAAACCATCTTCTTAGTCTTTAAAGTGCTGCATAGTGTTTCCTTTTGTTTTAGCAAGATCAGACTAACACAGCTAACTCTCTACTACTATTCTACAAGTAAATAAATTCCTGAAGAAACAAGCTACGCTTTAGATATGAGCGAAAGCAATGGCTAACCTGGTGTCATCGGGGCAGGGAAAATTCAGCAAAAATCAAATTGCCAGATTTCAACTGAATCAATAGTCCATGGTCACTTAAACAAAAAAAGAGTAAATACATTTGTAAATTTGCCCAAATTGTAAATTTGCCCAATTTATTTATTTAAACAATTCTTCATTTAAAAGGAATCACTATCAAGAGTATCAGAGGGGCGGCCGTGTTAGTCTGAATCTGCAAAAGCGGCGAGGAGTCCTGTGGCACCTTAAAGACTAACCGAGGTGTTGGAGCATAAGCTTTCGTGGGCAAAGACCCACTTTGTCAGATGCATGTAGTGGAAATTTCCAGAGGCAGGTATAAATACGCAGGCCAGAA